AGGTTTAAATAGAATTACAGTATCCGACTAAAATCTTATATTTGCATAACATAATGTACTAAGGTCCGATTCTTAAGAACCTTAAGATATGTAAGAGCTGTCAAAAACACCTAGATGTATCTAAGTGAAATACAAGGGGAACTGTAAGATATTTAAGTGCTGTTTAGTAAAAAAATATCATTAAATAATTATATTTATTTTCAGACTCTCCTTTTTCGCTCGGAGCATGTGTCAATTGAACTTCATTATACATTTTTCGACATAAAGGATTTATTTCTTGCAAGCCATATTGAGTCTCATCTATTGGACAAATAAACTATACGATTGACTCTATTCATTTGAATAGCTGTAGATTAAAAATTAGCTTTTATTGAATCAGAAACATGCAATAATAATTTCCAATCATTTGATTGAAAATTTTATTGATATTAAGAGTTTGTCAACTCCTCTTAAGTTGTTCCAGTGGAATAAAACTATATCTTTAGTCATAGCCTAGATTACAAATAAATGGCCTATGACTTAAACTAGTTTTTGTTTGGTCACTATTTAGCCTCATCCTGTTTAGAATTGGCCCCCTTTATCGAACTAAGGCAATTTAGAACTAAACTGGTCTATCTTCATTTTGACAAATTGGCCCTAATTTTCTGATTTGGTTCAAACATTAAAATGAAGGATTTTGGTTAATTTGACAGGTTTTAAAAGATAATTAAGAGGAATAAAGAAAAAGTTAGCTAATGAGAAGAATTTTATTATTATTTACGTGGAAATATTAGAGGAAAAATGGCTCCTCCTACTTTCAAATTGGCACACGAACATTTTTAAATTTTATGATCACATGTGGAGCATTTCTTTTTAATTTAATATACATATATATCAGTTTAAAGTAACGCTGACTACGTTACTCTCTTCTAAGTTACTTTCACACAACAAGAGAAAAAGATAAACTACTTTGATGAACTGATAGCATTTGCTGCAGCCAATATGACAGCAACAAAAAAATTGAAAGTCCTTGCATTAACTAAAATAAAAGGTTAAAGCTAACATCATGTCGTAAAAATATTCGTTGGATTCTAACTACAAGGTATAGATCTTTTTACATTTGTCAAGGAACAAACATTTGATTGCAATGAAAATACATTTCTATAATATAAAGCAAATCTTACGGTCTTATTTGGCAAAGGGTTAAGTGAGGGGTTAGAAAAGTTAACCCCTCCTTGCCCCAAAGAGAAAAGTAAAAAAAGTAAAAAGAAAAAAATTGCACAAGATGTAAACTAAGAACCTCAATAATTTGCCAAACACAAAAAAATACTAGAAGAATTTACAAACCCTTCTAGAAGGGTTAAAACGAGTTAACCCCTGAAAACAAGGGATTTACAAATCCACCTATTTAAATGGATTAAGAGATAACCCCTCTGTTTATGAAGAAAGCGATCATAATCTTTTTTTATTTTCAAACACAAAAAATGACCAAAAGGATTAAAATAAACTAACCTAACGGATCAACAATTTTAACCATTCGGATTAACAAATGAGCTAACTATATTAACCCTTCTCCTTAATCCCTCGTCCTTGATTCTTTGCCAAGTAAGGCCGAGTTTTGCGAGTAACCAAACGTTCGATTTGGATTCGAAAATGCATTTACCATAATAAAAATATAGACACCCAAACAATAAATTTGAGATTAATTTCCTATGCAAATACTGCATGCAATATTTGTTACAATTACGATTCTACTGTATCCAAACACCCTTTTATTGTCAAAAAAATTTCCAAATGATTTTATGAATCTTAACAAATTTTTGGTTACAAAAACCATGATATTTAATATATGGAAAATTAGAGTATGGAGCCCAAATTACCAACAGATACTACAAGAGCCTTGTCATGTAAGTAACCAACCCACAATTTATCGGTGACCACACCCCTTTGGTATCCTCACTCCCTGGGCCGTGGCGGGCCCAGTCTCAAGCCCATACGTGAAAAAGGGAAAATGCCTAACTCCACCAAGCGGTGACCAGAATCGGAGGAGGAAAAAAAAAAAAGGGAAAAATGCTTCCAGCCCCCAAAACTAATGAAAACAAGCTTCCCCCTCCCAAGACTTTTTCAACGTGTGTTTTACCCCCAAAAGTAAACTCTGTGTTCTCTGAGCCCCCAAAACACAAAACCCAAGAAATTAAGATACGTGAAGACCATAATACCCTCCATTGTCACATCCTCCTTCCTCTCCAAACCTAACCACCGCAACCTCCTCTCTTTCTCCTCCTTCCATGGCCTCAAGCTCATCTCCGCCTTCAAAACCCAATCTTTCTCCTCCCTATCATTGTCATCCTCCGCCCCCAAATCTCCACATCCTACGACCTCTCCTCCATCTGCTTCCGCCCCATCAAAGAATCCATCGTCTCCCGCGAGATGACCCGCCGCTACATGTCCGACATAATCACCTACGCTAACACCGTCGGCGGCGGCGGCGGTGGCGGTGGCGGCGAATCCGTCGGCCTCTCCTGCGCCTACGAGCTCTCCAAGAACCCCGACATCAACGTCGCCATCATCGAGCAGTCCGTCTCCCCGGCATTGACGATCTGATTTCTTCCTCCATCTAGAGAGCGTCGAGTTTGTACAGAAAGTGAAGCGTATCGCTGACAAATACTGGGATCTCTACTCTCAGGAACGCGATCTCCCTGGACATTTACTTAGCTATCCCATTGGAGTAAGCAGTGAAGGAGTTGTTACAGAGCTCCCAAGGACGGAGTTTTTCCCCGATACAAAGGCTCGTGTTATTTGAACCAAGTCTGATTACATGCCCCCCATCCTCACCACTTAGGTAGCATTTGTCTTGTTTCTTTGCTTCAGGTTGTTTTTACTAAATAATAGTGTTATTGTATGTGGGAATAAAAAAAGAGTATCTTTGATTGTGGGTTGTAGTTTGTTGTTGGTGTTCTTTGATGGATGCGAATTAATTTATGCGTGTGTGAGGTTTTAGTATTGAGATATGTTTTCCTTTATGGCATAAATAGAATCTATGTTAAGCCTGAAGTTTGATTATTTGTCTCCTATTGTGTTTTGTTAAGGTTTGTCGTCGGTTGTTAAGATTAGTGGTCGGTTGTTAAGGTTACGGATTTGTTGTTAAGGTTACGTGTTTGTTGTTAAGGTTACACGTTGGGATTTATATGTATATATATTTTGGTTGTTAAGATTACACTTTTGTTGTTAAGGTTACGCGTTTGTTGTCAAGGTTACGGGTTTGTTGTCAAGGTTAATTTCACAACTAATTAGAATATTCGTTGTTAAGGATAATGATTGGTTGTTAATGTTACGCATTTGTTGTCAATGTTACGGGCTTGTTGTCAAGGTTAATTTCACAACTAATTAGAATATTCGTTGTTAAGGATAAGGGTTGGTTGTTAAGGTTACGCGTTTGTTGTCAAGGTTACGGGTTTGTTGTCAAGGTTAATTTCACAACTAATTAGAATATTTGTTGTTAAGGATAAGGGTTGGTTGTTAAGGTTACGCGTTTGTTGTCAATGTTACGGGTTTGTTGTCAAGGTTAATTTCACAACTAATTAGAATATTCGTTGTTAAGAATAATGGTTGGTTGTTAAGGTTATGCGTTTGTTGTCAAGGTTACGGGTTTGTTGTTAAGGTTAATTTTACAACTAATTAGAATATTCGTTGTTAAGGTTACGCGTTTGTTGTCAAGGTTACGGGTTTGTTGTCAAGGTTACGCGTTTGTTGTTAATGTTACATGTTTATTGTGAAATTAACCTTGACAATCAACCCGTAACCTTGACAACCAAACCCGTAACATTAACAACAAACCCGTAATCTAAACAACAAACACGTAACCTTGGCAACAAGGCTCTTAGGCTCTTAGCAATAAGGTTACCCGTAACCCGGAATAAGGTTTGTAGAATATCGTAGCCATCATCAGTTCCATGCAAAAATTTCTTAACAATCAACCCGTAACCATAACAAGCAACCCGTAACCTTAACAACCAACACGTAACCTTAACAAGCAACACGTAACCTTAACAAGCGACGCGTAACCTTCACAACCAACGCGTAAATCACTTGGCTTTTGAAAATCTCATTAAAAGTGAAATATTATTATAATTTCCCTAAAAATTAAAAGTGAAATATTCATTTTCTAAAAATATATTGTTATATATGTTTCCGAATCTTACAAAAAATCAGTAAGAAAAAAGAAAATTACCAACAATTAACCCTTCAAAAAACAAAAAAAACAAGATTAAAATCACTAACAGGACCCACTTCCTTCTTCCACCTCCTCAATTAACCCTTCAAAAAATAAAAAAAATATTAAAATCACTAACATGACCCACTTCCTTCTTGCACCTCCTCAATCTCAAAACGAACCGAGGAAGCCACGAAATCACAGCAAGTGCCCACCACCTAAAACAAAATCCAGGTTTTGAAAATCCGACGCACATGCACCACGACCGCCGCCGTAAACTTCGTCATCCTCCTCTTGCTCATCACCTCCTCCTGCTCATCCTCGCCGTCACCGGCGTCTCTCCACGTGTCACGTTCCCGGCCATCCGCGTGGAGCTCAACATGACCCTCGACCTCCTCATCAAAAACCCTAACTATGCTTCGTTCTCTCCAGCTTTACTATGGTGGGGCCCAGGTTGGGGAGGCTGATGTGGATCCTGGGAGGATACCGGTGCGCGGGGCGATGCTCGTGACGGCGAGGTTGACGGCAGAGGGGGCAATCTCATCGCGGAGGTGGGGACCCTGCTGAGGGACATGATGACGGCCGCCATCGGGGAAAGGGACGGAGGAACCCTTTCAAATCATCACAGATAAAGAAAGAAAAAGAGAGAGAAAGGGTATTATGGTCTTCAAATTTTAATACTCTTGGTCTTTGTGTTTTGGGGGCTCAGTGCATATTTGTTACGAATTTGGGGGTTTTGAGAGCGTTGAAAAAGTCTTGGGAGGGGGAAGCTTGTTTTCATTAGTTTTGGGGGCTGGAAGCATTTTTCCCAAAAAAAAAAAACCCCTGTAATTATAAATCAACTCAACGTTGAACCTCTGAACGAAGTTTGGGGATGGGAACAGGCCGCTGATTCAAAAGATCACAGACTACAGAGGTCTATCCCTCCTCCCTCGCTCTCTCTATTGAAGAAATTTTCCATTTTCATCTCTATTTATATTATTATATATTTTTGGGGGAGGTTTTGGGTCATTTCCTCAAACGGCATTGAGGGTACTGTCCCTTCTCTCTCTATTTATGTGTTTTTAACAAATGGGTTTTGAAAATTGAGGGAAACTATTGTAAAATACGAGGGGCTCTTCGAGTTAGATGATTGTGCATTGTTTATTTTTGAAATGGGTATTTGACAGTTTTATCTATTTGTTTTTGTTTTTTAGTTTGTGATTGTTTAAAATAAAAATTTTGAATGATGAATAGTTGGTTTTATATAATTATGCTTGTGTAGGGCACATTGGTTTTCTTTCTTTTGTTCAGATACTGACGGAATCGTGTAAAGGGATTTGGGGTTTTAGGGTTTTAGATGGGCTTTTGGTGGTGATTGATCGTTTGTTTATGTTACTTTCTGCTGTTTTTAGAATAATCATCTGTTAGGTTTGAGATTTTTCTCTTATTGGTAATTTTATTGACTAGCAGAGTTTACCTTATTTTAATGTTGTAGCATTTTGAAGGTTCTTATAGATATTGGATTGTTCATGATGATACCTTTTCTCTGTTGCTATAATTGTTCATGTTTCGTCAAAGAATGTGTTCTTACCTTCTTGGTTTTTGTTAGACGGGTTTAATATTATTAAATCACATTTTTTTGGTGATCAAATGGAATTCGTGAAAAAAGTTAGTTATTATGAAGTAACTTGGGAGATAGGCTCAGCCAGTGTCCTTCATTTACAAATCTAAAATATAGCAACAAAAGAAAAGAAAAAAGAAAAAAAGGGTTTCCTCTTCCTGTTTTACACTAAGATATTACTTGTTGTCCTGTATGTTTGTGTTTGCATGCTCTCTAGATATAATAGTTCCTGCTTCTCCTTTGCTTCCCGTTTTACTCAAAAATCCCTTTGTATGCTAGCATTTTGGCTTATTATATATGATCATGGGGGATGAGAATATGGTAATATTATAGTTCAAGTGTTCAATATGTGCTTCCCCTTCTGATGCTAGTTTTCCTTTTAATAGTTTTCTCAAAAGTTTAGTATTGATGTTGATTCTTAGACCTTGACCGTTTGTATTCAAACATAATCCCTATGTGATCATGTGTGTATGTAGAAAGATGAAAGGTTATAGCTAATATTAGCTTTTTTTTTGCATTATATGTTTACTATGTTATAATTTCCTATGATGAAAGTTCTTAGTATCCTAATCCATGATACAGATAGCATGGGGGCAGGAAGAAGAACGCAAACATTTTTTGCTGCTGAGTCGTGGGCTCCCTTGCCCGGAAATGGTTCTCTCCCCACTAGGAACTTGGACAAAAAAGACTTGGGTGGAGCTATTTTTGGTTGCAAGCATAATACCATGCCAGAGTGTCTCACTAAGCAGTTATTTGGTTTGTTGTTGAAGTTTTTTGTTCTCATTTACTTTCCAAGTTATTTGTCAAGTTGCACCGTTATTTTTAATATTTTGAACTCCATGCTGCTTTTCCATGTAATTTTTTCCTGAAGTCTTATTATTTGTGGTAGACAACTTGGCATATATAACCAAAGAATTGACTACTCAAATTTAATCCTCTAAAATTACATTTAGAAGATAAGTAAACATTACTTAATTGGTGAAAAACTAGAGTTATCTGAGCACTTTAATGTTGTCAGGCTTGCCACATGGGCATTTCTCCTATGTGAGAAATATTGGAGAAGGTCTTCCTTTATTCCTGTTCAATTATAGCGATCGCAAACTCCATGGCATCTATGAGGCTGCAAGCAATGGCCGAATGTCATTTGATGCCTATGCATGGACTGATGGTGGCAGTGAGAGGACACCATATCCTGCTCAGGTATTATTGATAAGCTTCTTGTCAGATTATAAAATTATAACCCTCAACACAACATCAAAGATTTGGTGTAGTACTTAAAAGGGCATTAAAAAAAGATGCCACTGCATGAGTACAGTTTTTGGCCCATTAAAAGGGTGCTCAACGTGCAGGGGCATGCTAGAACATAAAATTATAACACAACTTTGAAGTTTTAGTGTACTGGAAGAGAGTTTAGCACTTTGTTATGTATCATAGGAGAAATGTTTATTTTTTCGATGAATATTGATCTGTAATTATTTGTCAAATTTGATCTAGGTATACATTCGTACTAGGACTCAGTGCCAACCACTGACCGAAAATCAGTTCAAGACAATAATTCAGGACAACTATTTTGCTGGTAGTCACTTTTGGTTCGAGCTGGATCATGCACAAACAAGAGGCCTAATTGCGCTTTTTAAACCTTCTCCTCATATGCCAATTGTTAAAGAACTTTTCCCTCCATTACCAGCCAAAAAGCTTGCTCCCAAGAAAGAACTTGTTACACAACCGCCACCAACTAAATGGAAGGCAGTTGAAAATAAGGAATATCCAAATGCTGAGGCAAGATATATTAATTTCGAAGATGTGGATTCCAAAGGCAGAGTCTCAGATTGGGAAGACCTGTCGGAGAATAACATGCACAAATTAGGTTCAGGTTCTAATTCTGGTAATGGGGCATTAGTTGGCTACTGAGCGTGAACATCTAAAGTCATCTTCCAGTGGAGAAAATTCAACATGGTCGGATTATAATTATGTAAATGCTGAACCAGTGTCAATTCCGACCTCATCTGATATTAATTATGCAAATGAGCTTGAACATTTAAAGTCATCTTCTAGTGGAGAAAATTCAATAGGGTCTGATTACAATTATGTAAATGCGGAACAAGTGCCAATTCCAGCCTCATCTGATGTTAACTATGCAAATGGAGAGGATGTGGAAAAGCTGAGCAGTTCTGGCATTATCCATGGCAGTGATGAGGTTGTAAATAGCAGGGTTTGTATTATTGTAAATTATACTTGTTTTCTATATTCATCTGATTTATAGTTTAACCTGAATACATACATGTTTATAACTTCTCCAATGTGCAGTTGGTGCGAGCCCTTGAAGAACTAGAAGAGCGGACTTCAAATTTAGAGAAGCAGCGGGTATGGCATATTGTCTGCTTTCCCTTTTTTTTTTAAATTTAATGAATTTATTTATTATTAATCTCTTTAAGAATATGCAGACTTGCTGAAGTAGTGCTTTTTGTTACTTGCTCAGAATTTTTACGAAATGAGAATATCACATTATAGACCACATATTATATAATTTTTTCTATTGCTTGACTGCTGGATGTTATATCCAAAATGCATCTAGTTTCTTAAACTCCATGGCACCATCTGAACCACATGATTCATTTCCTCAGATGTTTTCACTTATATTTAGGTGACTTTCATCTTTATGTAAAATAATAAAGTCTCGCAACACTAGGTCTTGGAACTATTATTATCCTTGTATAACCCAGAACTTTTTTTTAACTATGAGGACTCTTAAAGTCTCTCTAACCATTAGACCAAAACTCTAAAGTTATGGTGAGGGTTGACCGGTTGAGGATTATATTTCTATATTCTAACATACCCCTGCAGGTTGATCACCCTTTGTATAGACCGAAACCGAGACTCACGTAACAGTGTCAATTTTTAGAAAATCCATTTTTAAATTCATGGTCGATGAGATTTGAACCTAGTTGCTCTGATACCATCTTAAAGTCCCTAGCCATGAAACCAGTACTCCGAAGTTATAATGAGGGTTGAGGATTATATTTTTATATCTAACAAGGGCAATGTATTTGATTTCATACCAACAAGTGATGTGTAGCAAGGTCACATTTGACATTAAGTGCATTGAGTCATTGACTAACTGATGATATTATTTATGCTTTAATAGCATAAGGGCAAAAACAAATGGATATAAAGAGGCATAGCAATTTACAGTGCATCTTGAGGAGTGCAGATTCAGAAATATTGCTTGAATTGCATTATGAAATTTTTCTAGATAAATTTTAGATAACAGACTAGTACTGAGTGCCAATTAGATGCTATTGATAGAGTAGCTAGACAGTGTTCCATGGCTATCTCCAAGTTCATGATGAAGCGTCTATTTATAGCATGGCGCTTTGAGATGCTTGGTCTATTGGTTACCTTGTCACCTTAGAAAGTCTTTTCCTGTAAAATGCTAAAAGAGGATTTTATTTTTATTTTTTTTAGAAATCTTCACATCATAGCATGTCGCTCTGAGATTTTTAGTCTATTGGTTACCTTGTCACCTTAGAAAGTCCTTTCCTGCAGAATTCTCAAATAGGAAATTTTATTTCTTGTAAAATCCTCACATAAATAGAAGCTGTAGAATCGTCTATCACTCTAATTTGTTAACTGAACATGAAACTGTTTTTGAGCTATTTTTTATTTTATTTGTGAGAAGTGAAATGTAGCATGCCTACAAAAACAAAAGCACATTGCAACATGTATAGTGCAATTCATGAATCAAGATATTTCCAAGCTGGCTGCTGATATACAGTCTTTAGATTGTTTAACACTTATTTTTCATCTTGTTTATTCTATCCTTAGGTTATATGTTTCATCCTAGTTTCCAACCCTTTTTTATCTTTTTCTCTTCTCGTTTTGCTGGTAATTTTTATATTTACATCATATCACTATCCTAATATAGTTTGTTCTCTATTTCAGGCTGAGCAAGATCGAGAGTTGGAACTACTAAGGAATGAATTCATGGATGCAGGGAAAAAGGTCCAACTTCTGCAGGATCGTATAAAAGAGCTTGAAGCGAAGTCTATTCCTCTAGTTGATGATTCTCTTGATGACAAATCCTTCAAAAAATCTTTTTGTCCAGAAGATAAAATTTACCTAATTGGAGGTTTTGATGGCTATTCATGGTTATCGTCTTTAGACTGTTTTTCTCCGTCATTCAATACCATAACACCTCTGAAGTCCATGAGCTCTGATCGATCATATGCATCTGCTGTTGCATTAGACGGTATGCTTTATGTTTTTGGTGGTGGTGATGGCAACTTATGGTTTGACTCAGGTACCCTTTACTAAGTCAGTATCTCCTTGTACATAGTTGTCTAACATTATATGCTGTGCTACACAATGACATTTTCATTTGAACTTTAATGTAGTTGAATGTTACAATTGGAGACATGATGAGTGGACCTTGTGTCCTTCGATGAAACGTCAGAGAGGAAGTCTAGCTGGAGCCACTTTGAATGGGAAAATATTTGCTATCGGGGGAGGAAATGGTGTAGAATGCTTTCCAGATGTTGAGATGCTTGACCCAGAACAGGGAAGATGGATCAGCAACCAATCAATGCTTCATACAGTAAGAATGATGTCATCTATGTTTCTCTATAAATGAGATTATTTGGGTGTTCTTATGTTTTTTTAGAAACAAAGAATTAACGGTTGGTTTAATTGCAAATAGACCCCCTATAGTATCACCCAGTTGCTAATAGATCACATGTAGTTCTATTTGTGCGAATAGATCCCCTGTATTGGCCCAAGTGCGGATAGCCCCCTCAGTGAACTTTTTTGACTCTTAAAAAAAAATCGCAACTGGGGATCTATCCTCGCCAATAGAACTAAGGGGAGTCTATCTTCCTCCTCAAAACATTTTTAACGATTTAAGAGTAATAAAAAAACACCCGAGGGGCCTGTTCACACAAAATTAACTACAGGGGGTCTATTTGCAATGGGGTAATACTACAGGGGGTCTATTTGCAATTAACCCGTAATTGGTTGTTACAAGACTTTGTCAATTTTCTCTATATTTTGCAAACAATCTTTTCTGCACGTGAATGTGTTTCAGCCTGCTTGCTTATCTTACATCCTAGTACAGATCCTCAATCACATGTTCTCGTCTCTTGTCATGTCACCTATCTTGCTATATTAACTACAATTATATCACTTTTAATAATGCTTTTTTATTTTGTATTATATTGTGATAGCAAACTTGTCCAAATTATTCTTGTTCCTCACTCAACTTCATCTTATTTTGATTCTTTCTGAAGCCATAGTATACTATTTGATTAATAAGCATTCTCATTTTGTTCTTTCAGCGGTTTGCACCTGCTGCAGCAGAACTTAATGGTGTGATATATGCTTTTGGTGGATACGACGGAAAGGCATACTTGAGGTTAGATGTCCAACACCAATTTGTCTTTTGACAACAACAGTGGATTATAATCCACCCATTTACCGAATACTCTACCATTGAAAATAGATTATAGTCCATTAAATTTGCCAAACACTGGATTTTAATCCAAAGTTCCCAAACATGATCTTCATTACAAAACGAGACCATGACACTAGTCATAAAACCTATATTTCCCTTGATAAACCTCTCTCTTAAACACACATGAAAATTGGAGTTAATGCTTCTATAATTAATTCAGATTCTCAGAAATTGCATTCCGTAGAGTATATGCTGATTGAGAGAATTCTCTCTGCTCTTGCAGGTCTGCTGAAAGATTTGATCCCCGGGTAGGCAGTTGGACCGAAGTCCCAAGCATGAACGTTAGAAGAGGCTCTCATTCTGTTGCAGTTCTAAATGAGAAAATGTAAGTGTTTCTTAAGTAAGGGGAAAAAAATGTAACAGTAACCGTTCTAGTTTTTTGAGTAAATTATGAAACCCCCTCATCCAAAAAGTTCAATAAAAAAACCCCCTCCTTTGTGATCACCAGTGAAACCATTAGTTTCACAATGTAGTTTGGTTCTTTTGACTTCTGGGCAGAGGTCCGCACACAAAATTTTAAGTTAATAATTACAATATAAGATTTTTTTGGTTTGTCCAAAAACTAACTTCTCCTTCTCTAATTCTTTGATTTCTGTCCATTCAACTCACCAAGTCTGTGAATTATGAAGTGTAGACGTGGTTTTAGACTACGTATGCATTGTCCTTTGTAAACAAATTCTTATAATTAACCCTTATTTAAGTTCAGAAGTAGCTTACTTTTTTTGGGTATTATTTTGCTGGTAATTTTCTTTCTTAGATATTGCATGGGAGGATATAACGGCGACGAGATGGTTTCAAGCCTTGAAATATTTGATCCTCGTCTGGATTCTTGGGTGATGGGTGAACCGATGAATTCTGAGAGAGGATATGCTGCCACATCAGTCTTTGGTAATTCCATAATCTCCATAGGTGGTGTCAAAGACGATGAAGTTATTGTAGATACGGTATGTATTTTTCTCTGTATACGCGTATATTTTAGTTCTCAACATAACTAAATACTCAACTCTTCTTCATTTTGTTATACTGGTAGGTGGAATGTTACAGAGAGGGATCTGGGTGGACCACCACCGGATGGAATGCCATTGGAAAAAGGTGCTTTTGTTCTGCCATTGTGTTGTGAGCTTTGTTGCATAATGGCAGCCATGTTTTTTACTTTTTTTTTTTAACAAATAACTTTAACTTCTCAGTGGCATTTGTGTATATTTAGCAAGTTGTGCAGTCTGAATGTGTATATTAAAGCAACACAAGTGTTGGCCTATGGAAAGTATCTACTGCGGATGGGTTTGGTTCTGTGATGAAACATTTGAATATGCGAGGATATCTCATGATCATCTATGTAATATTTGCTGGCTGGGAATGTTATTACAGTTTATGAGGTTTTACTTTGGTGATTATGGATCACTTTCTTAGATAAGTTGTAAGTTGTTTTTTTTTTCCCTCTCTCTCTCTCATCGATAATATGCAGTGAGATGAGCATTTTCAAATGAAGAAACTAAATGAGTCACATTCACATACATACTAGAAAACCATCAAGTATAAATGAAGAATCCAAGTCAATAAATTCATGTCTGAGGAGTAGACCAAGGATCCCAACTTCAAAATGTTTTAATAAAATAAATATCTTTCATTGCTGAATCAAATACAGAGTATAACAATGACAATGTTGAGGCTTCAAGAACCTCCAAATTCCTTCATACAACTTGTACGATAATGAACCCTGAACCAATAAAAAGTTGATGATAATAATTAAAGAACAATAAGCAACAGTCTAATGCACGGAAAAAGCCGCTACTACTCCAATTGAATCTTCTCTCCTCTCAGTCTCAGCACAGTGGCAGATCTCCAGGGGGTGCCTCCAATGACTCCAACTCCCCAACTCCATCCTCTACCAAAAACGCCATGGCCAGTCCCCAAGTAATGTGGACATCCAGGTGGCAATGCATCAACCACACGCCGGGATTATCCGCGACAAATCGGATCCCGCCCATCCGTTCACCGGAACCGCCCACTGTATTCCTCAGCGGCGGTTCGACAGATTGAACTTACCCGTGTCTTTTGCCGTCGCGTCGAAGTTCCCGAAACCTGAGCGAGCACGTAAGATAATCGTACCCGTGTAGTATGTAATCGGGTGACTCTCACCCGCCGAAAATATTCGTTCCCTGCCAGACTACTTGGACTACCGAAACCATACTTCAGTCTGTACACTTTGGTGGCCTGCAGCCGTGCCTGCCAGAGGTTCGGCCTGACGTTTCCGGTGTAATTGAAGGTGACAGGTGGGTTTCCCTCGAAATCTGCCGTGAAAGTGCCCGACAAGCCTTGATGATGCGCTTGAAGGATCGAAAATCTCGACGGGAGTACGAAGGATATGTTGTTCATGCTCGCGCCGAATCTTGTGTTATTAGGCCCGCCGCAGGTATTACCCGGAGAGCAGTTGAAGAGACCGAGGCCGACCGTGAAGAAGAGGTTCTCGTCGACGGGTGATGGCACGTTGACTTTTCCCGGGCTTTTGAAGCTGGAGGCGAACGTCGAGGCGGTGTTGGTGTCGTTGAAGGCGGGAAGGGCGGGCATTTTAGGCGTAATGTTCGGTCCAGGGTTCCTAGAGGTGTACGAGGACGCGCGCGATGGCGGTGGTGTTGCTCGAAGGACGCCCTGTGCGCTGGAATAGGCTCGGTGCGGGCCGATGTCAGTACCGGGCGGGCGGTTGCGTCGGCGGTGACGAGGCGACGGTCGCGTCGTCTTGGCCAGGGCCGAGCATTGAGGACGGAGGCTCGCTGGAAGGGTTCCGCTGGTAAGGCAGGGCGGCGGCTCCGACACCGTCATTTTGTGGCGAACAGCTCAGTGTTGAGGGCGGCGTTGATGAACCGGAGGAGGTTGGTCTCGCCGGTGGATACCGGGATTACTGCTGTGCCTGTCGGAAATGTGGGAGCAAATTTAATGCATGAGCAAATATTGTATTGTGTTCTTCTTTGTGAGATGTTTTATGTTACCTTGGCCGGAGCAGTTGTAGAGATCGCCGGGCTGGCCGTTGATGGTGAAGGCGTCGGAGGTGTTTGGCGCTGCTCCGGTCCGTGTCGCCTGCCTCACGACATCGATCGGGTTCTCATCCCACCATTCTCCTGCTCATCGCACTCCTCGTCGTTATGGTTTCCGTTATAATTTTTATTTTATTATTTAATAGTATTCAATATGCGGATATTATCAATCTAAATTTCGAGAAAGATCAATTTAATCAATATTGTCAAAGTTTTTTTTTTTTTTGCTAACACCTAAAATGTTTTCAGGCCATATGCAAGCATGAAACCTTTGAAAGTGGTTAAGTGGGTATTATTTGGTGTTCTAAGACTCACCATGCTTGAACTTGCGAAGCGCTTGATGAGCACTGTCTTCAACCAGGCCTTGGCCAATACTATTATCATTCATGTGTCTCAATAATAACATCAAACTAATGTGACCATAGGTTATGACAACCCATTCAACAGGCTGCAGAGGGTACATCATATCTCTTGTGGGCCCTCCAGCGGGGTGCACGCTTGGGCCCACCTTGTGAAATTTGATACTGAACCTAGAGGGTTTTGACGAGAAATTAAAAAAAAAAAAAACTGTTTTTGACACTTTATTAGCAAAATCAATCTTTTGTGGGTTTAATTAAGCAAAATCGACTTCTTTAGTCGATTTTGCAAAATATAGTTTTTAAAATGCATGGAACTAGCAGTCCGGTGTAATTAGCATTGGCTAATCACATGTTAATTAAACTTTAAAAAATACACGAGACTAGTTAAACTTCATTAGTTTGTAATGAGGCACCACTAAAATACACGGGGACTAGTAGTCCTGTGTATTTTAAAGCTTTATTTTTGCAAAATCGGCATCCTTGTCGATTGTGCTAATTATATAAAAAAACAAGTCGACTTTGCTAATAAAGTTACAAAAATGGTCTTTTTTGAGGTTGAGGAAATCGTACCTAGAATGATGGGAGCCTCTCTTGTGGGCTTTGTGAAGGGATACGAAGAGTTGGCTCTGGGATGAATGATGATGGCCCCATAAACTGTGGCCCTCAGCCATGAGCTATGTGCATGCCACCATAATGTTCCTTCTTGCCCTTGTATTGTGAACCGGTATGTGTAGCTCCCTCCGGGCCGTATCGGGCATTGGGTCACAAATTCCGGCCCATCCGCCCAACCCGTTCTCAACTGCCGAACCCCGTGCCTAAAAATGAAAAGAAAATAATAATAATAATATCGATATTTCTTCGTCAATTACTAGATTATATGAAATAGTGAAAACAGGATCTGTTCAACTTTTTCTCTCGGTCAGTTAGTCATTGATTTTACACGAGGGGGCTATTAGCTATAGTACCAACAAAAATAACCACAATGTGCTCTAGTTACTAGCAGCCTTTGCTCACTTACACGCCTATAACATCTATGTGTATGTATGTGTGTGTATGTGTGCATGCATGTATATACACATTACCAATGAATCGTGACGTTGTATTCAGCTTGGTTCTTGACATTGACGACGAGGGTGTCGCCGTTCTTGACCTCAAGGGTCGGCCCCGGGAACATCCCGTTCACCGTGATGATGTTATGGGTCTTGCACAGCCTCTTCACCGGCGTTTTCACCACCTGTAAGTTTACGCCTACATTCATCAACACAAGGAATTACCCAGACATCGAATCGGAAATAGTTGAAGAGTACATACAATAAAGTCATGGTAGAGCGTTTCAGCATTGGATTGAGAAACTAGAAGGGAAAGCACTAGAACGAAGCAAGAGAGCCAGCATCGCATCATTTGCATGGCATTGTTGTTGGCCTCCATGATGCTGGCAACCTGTTGCTTGTAGTGCAAACAGAGAAGTGAAGGGGGTCTTAAATAGATGGAGGAAGTGCAAATCATTTAGGAGTTGTTACACCCAATAGTAGCCTCTAATTGTTAGCACAAGGAGCAGTGCAGTCTCACAATGCTTGCTCTTCAAGGCTCCTCAATTGAGGGACTTTTTCGGGACAACACATCATCATGCCATTTTCACCCTTTTCTTGAAAATCATTTCATATGAACTTTGTTGTCTCTCTAAGGGTATATATAAAATCAGTACATGCGCATCTATACAAAATCTCTCTTTTTTTTTAATAAAAAAAATGTGTGCATGAAACTTTCAAGTGTACAAAGGTCCGTGACTTGGAAAGAGGTGATCATTCTATTTCTTTTCAGGCGTCTCAAGTAAAAAAAAAAAAAAAAAAAGGAAAAGGGACTTGAGTTGAGGTTTGGTCTACAATTTTTGCATAGATGCAACATTACCAAACAGTAGGCTTCACTACTCGACCAATTCATTGCCGTGCCTAAAACTTCAACAAGTTCAGTTCACATAGTAGCATGTTGAGTGTCTTTTGTCAAATGTTTCACTACAATAAAAGTATGGGAGCATTGAACTTGAAGCCATCTTCCTCAAAATTGCTTCCTTAATCTCAAAACAGTCTCATTAACATATATTAATTAACTAAAAGGGAAATATGAAAAGGAGAGTCTTAGAAGTATGTAGGTGGTTAAAAAGTTACCTCCATCTTTTTTCGCCTCCTCACTTGCCTTGTTCTCAATTAGACCTTAATTAGTAGTTCATGACTTGATATTGAGTTATGAGTTCAAGTAGGTGGCTTATCTAACTACTAAAAATTGTCATAATCCATATCTGAATCGCTTTCCTCAATTAAGTTATAATTAAACTCGCATGATGAACATATTAATTGACATAACAGAATTAGAATGTCGGTATTACTCCACAATATGCTCTGTGCTATGAAGAATTCAAACTTATGTACATCTAATGATATCATTTGAATGTCCTATACCATAGACATCTGTTGCATTCACTGGCCTAGTATGCAACTTGACCAATCTAACTACTTACTCCACTAGCTTACCATCCACTCGATCGCGATCCAATGGTGCTCGTGGCATCGCTTTAACGTAAAACTAGATACAGAGGCCAATTCCCCCTAATCATTTTACTTAACAGGATCCCACCACCTTGTGATTTAAGGAAAAGGCAGTGGGGTTTCTAAGTAGACAGAAGTCAAGGAGACTAGCACATGAGTGGCTACCAGCCAAATCTTGATCTTGAAGAAAATGGCTGATGCTTGATGTGAAAAGACTACTATTAGGTGCACATTAATAATTCTTGTTGTTGGGTTGGAGGGATTTGGGGCTTTTAAGCTCCATTATAATTTGCAAACACTTAACATTTTCAAAGATGATTCACATGTTCATGTCCCTTGGCTCTCTCAGAGTCAACAGTGATTGGAGAAATTAAGGGCAGGGTTTATTGGCCCATAACTCTCTATGTCAATAGAAAAAAAAAGGCATAATAATTATGAAGAGCACTTATAC